AGGTGAGCTGCGGCTGGCGGGAGGCACCGGCGCACGGAGGGGAAAGCCCGGCGGCGAGGGGCGCCCGCCTCGGGGCCAGCCTCGGCCCCCACTCCCGCCCGCCTCCCACCCGCCGGGAGCGGCTGAGGTGTCGGGCTCCTGCAGGAGCTCTCCCCTCGCCAGGCCGCGAACCCTGGAGGGAGGATGCTGCCTTTGCAAAGGCTGTTTTCTCCTTCCGAGCGCCTGCACGTTTCCCTGTCCCGCCACGGGATCTGCACATCTCCAGAGCTTACGCAACGGAAATTTTGAAGAACAAGTTAGAAAACACCCCTCAGGAGCGACACAAGCACAGCAATCCCATCCCAGGGCAGGATGCCCACGCCAGGGCATCCCAGGACCGGCTGAGCTCTAGCAGTCCCTTTCTGAGAGTCACCTGTACCAAGGGGTTGCACTAACCATTTCCCACCGTACCGGTACCGGGCCAGAGAGCTCCCAAGCTGTGAAACCTCCAGGATGGCACACAGCACACGGGGGCAGCTCCCATCTGCCTGCAGGGGAGGGTTTCCCTGACCCACAGAGTGGGCTTCTGCACATGGAATTTAGGCGGCATCAGCGTGGCCTGCGTGCAACTGCCCGTCCCATGGCTCGCACCACCATCCGCCCATAGCCAGTTCCCTTCCAGGAGTCACCGGAGTCACGGAGCAGGCACGGGCTATTGCGGCTGATCAGCTGAAGATGGGAGGAGGAGGGCACAGACCCAGGTTTATGTGGATGGGGCAGAGGGAATATGGTTATGGTCAAAGGGATGTGTGCCGGAAGGGTGAAGAGGAGAAGTAACTCATGTTTCTCTGTGTGTGTGAGAGTGAGCACTGCCCACAGCCATCGCCACCCCAGCAAAAGCCATAGCCACCGCTGCCGTGGCACCAGAACAAGCTGTTTGCCCATCCTCCTAATGGGACTGTTTGCTTCAGCTTTCCAGTCTTAGAAAGATAATTTAAAAGGAAAAAAACAAACTATTTTATGTTAACAAAACCTGAATATTCTTACTAGAAAATTGGAATATTAGAAAATGCTGTAAGTGCAGAAGTTAAAGGGATGTTTAATGGGTCACCAGGAAAAACTCTTATAAATTGCAGGTTGCCAAACTTGTAAAATACCTACTTTTCAAATCAACACATTTTAAAATGCTTTAAAAACCAGATTTGTCTGCTGAAATGATTATAAAATGCCCAGTGACTGTGAAATCGGGAACACAACTTCTATTTAGAAAGTCTGACGATTTCTCAGGCCAGAAACTGCATCCTCATCATGTCTGTCTTCAATAGGCAAATTTCTGACACATTAGTAGCATTTCTTTCTTTTAGCTGGGAAAAATTCCCTGACAATGAGTTCCACAAGTTATTTCCCACTATATATATATATAAAAAAAAAAATCATATTTGTTTGTTTTATATGTAATAATTCCACTGGATGCTCCCTATTTCTTGTGTCATGAAAACAAAGAAATAATCATTCCCAAATTGTCTTCTCTGTGTGCCACTGAGTTTACAGCATTTACCATCTCCTTAGTCATTTTTTCCAAGCTGAAAAAAAACCCCTGATCTCTATGACTGAAAGCTGTGACTTCGATCACTTCTATCATCCTATTCTACACATATATATTCTTAAAACTGATTAGTATTTTGTCAGGTAGTTTGCTTATAGCAT